CCACCATTTTTTACGTTTTTTTTAAATTATTTACTTAATTTGTTATTTCCATATTTTAATTTATTTTATTAAGTTCTTATAATTTATATTTATCTATCTTTTCTGTATTTATTTTGTTATATATATATTTTTTTATTTTAATGTATTTTAATTTTTAACTGGTGGGCCTATAGCGACACAGAGTCGCTATAGGCCATAGCGCCATATTTTGACGTTTTAATTTTTTAAAATTATGAACTATATTATTTTTTTAATTCTTTTATTTTACATTATCATATAAATTTTAATTACTATTTTATAAACTTATTTTTTCATTAATTTCTTTATTTAATATATTTTTTGCTTTTTTTGTTTTTTAAATTTAAAATATGGGGCGCTATGGGCTACAACGACTTCATTCAAGCTGTTAGTGTCGCTATGGGCTGCAACAACTTCGTCAATATGGCTTTCATGGCTTCTCTGGAGTTACAAAAATACCACGTGTCACTGGTGTCGCTATAGGCCATAGCGACACCGTTATAAACAGTCCCAAAGGCGTAATTACTTTCAAAAGAACCTCATTTACGTAATAAACTTTTCAAACAACCCCACTTTGGTCAAAAAGCCGTTAATAACTAGATTGGAGGACACTTGTTTTTATTATTTTTAACTAGTTAGTATAATTCATATGGTAAATATTTTATGTTGTAGCCAAGGATATAATTTGGGTCATAAATGTTAACCATTAATTAAGTCATAATACCTTTTGGTTATAATTGTAACATCTTGCAAAATTAGACTATAAGAAGAAAAAAAGTATTTCGATAATTATAAAATATTTAGTTAATAAATTAGTAAATGATTTTAGTTTAGAGAAATGAGTTTTAAAGGAAAGTCTAAAAGGAAGGTTAGGACTTACGAACCTTAATCCATACACATTAGTCACACATTTTCTCTTGGTCAAGAAAAACAAGGTTAAAAGGAGAAAGGGATAATGGAAAAGAGAAAGGAGAAAACACGAGTTTAGTCCCTCATATCTTTTTATTTTCCCGTTAATTGTATTGGTTGTTACTGTATGTTTTCCCTAGCATGTTCCTTTTCCCCATTAATTCATAATTCTACACGTGATTTTTTTTTTATTTGATCATGGTCTTTTAGCACGAATTGCTTGTATGATTAATGCGGATCAATATTAAATTGTATAATCGATGGGCTAAACTTGGGGGTTTTAGTGTATAACATCTTAAATTTTTTAAAATTATTAAGAATATTTTAATTCATTAAATAGTTTTTATAATTATACTAAAAGTTTTTAAAATAATGATAACTTTTTTTATTAATTAAAAAAATATTTATAAATTATTTATTATATTAATTATTAGAAATATAAATATATTTTTATCTATTTTAACGTATTTTGATTATATATTATGATCTTGATTAATTAAGAAGTTTTATTGGTAAGAATTTTTTTAGATAAGAAAATTAAAAATTACAAAATTATTTTATTTGAAGAGATATTGTCTTATATATTTATCTATAGAGTTTTAAATAATTAATTGAGTTATTTTATAATTATGAGGGTTATGTGATAAAAAAATATTTTTTAGTTAGTTATTATAAATAATTGAGTTTTTAAAGAGGAATATCTAACGGTAGATTTAACAAACTTTACCAATAGGTTATGTGAGGGTTAGGGTTTGGTGTTTCTTAATTATAGATTAGTAGTCTAGAGCTACCTCTCATCATTAATACACATCCTTGTGCTCTAAAGAGGAGAAAGTGATTTATCATTGAGAGAGAACAACAAAATATAAGAGATAAGATAAGAGAGAAATTCATTGTTCAATTCGCATAACCACCAAGCAATGATTTTCTAATTGCAATTCATTAGTTGTTAGATCAGGCTGAATTTTAGACAACAAGTTTGATAGGACGTTATTATTTGTTTTCAATGTTTAGATCGTCCAAAGAACATATAAAGTGGGAGAAAAATGTTTCGCACTAAAAGTTCTACTTCTAAGGGTTTTAACTTTCTTGCTTTTCATTGAGGGGGAGAATTGAAGGCTACTAAAGATGACCTTGAAGATCCACATATGGAGTTTGACATCCATCGAGGTAAAGAGGAGTGATAATCTTGCTCTAGATGTGGGTTATCTGTGGGATTGCGGATTGGCCTCCAATCCTGTTGTTTGTGTTGGATTGCATAAGGGATTAAACCCAACTTGATTGTAAGATATATTTGTTGTCCCTTACTTTCTAATTGTGTATCATGTTATAATTGTATTTGTGATCTATGATGTCATCTTTGTTTCTAAATCTATATCGTTTGCGAGTTCCTTAATATTTCGAATGTGTTAGTAGATTGAAATTGCGTTTTCGATCCCTAGAATTGGCTATATTTGTGAATTTGTGAGTGCGTGTGGGGGGGACCCTAGGGACTAATACAAAGTAAATTATTAGAGAAAAAATTATGAATCGAAAACTCTTAGAATAAGAACAAATTAATAAGTGGAATAGTTAAACTACCGTTAATCTGTAAATTTGTAATATATTATTAAATAATAAAATAAAATAAAATATGATAATAGTAACATTCTTTCACTTTTCTGTGTTCGCTTAGAAAGTTATGGTTATAAGCTTAGAGTTAGGATTACTCATTGTGAAAGTTTTATTGTTCCCATTACACCCTTGATGACTTGACCCCATAACATGTTATCTCTTTTAAGACTTGTGTTGTGTGAACTAAAAATTGTGAATTGATATGCCCTTTCTAGTTTTGTTAGAATATTGACTTCAATTAAGCTAATCCTAGCAAAGTCAATCTAGTCCTAGGAGGTCGGAGATAATTTTGGCCTGTTGTTGCTAGTGAACTTAATGAAAAATTGTGTTGATTTGTTGTTGCTTTATAACCCATTGTAGGATTGGATGAGTAAACTTGTTTAATTTTAAATATTTTATTTATGAATGTTGATGACATTTTAAATAGCATGGAAGATGGTTTTGATACAATGAAACTGCACCTAACACAAAGAGATAACCTACTATTGCTACTAATCCTTTTATTACTAGTATTGGTAATAAAAGCAAGAGTAGGATTATTAATGACCAAAACCAATATACTAAAAAGGCCAACAAAATTGCCTCTAAGGCATCAAATTATTATGAATTGGACTAATTGATAGGGTGGATAAATGCAAGTGTAATGATTTAGAAATTTTTATACATGTAAAGCTATATATTAGGAATTTCATGACAGTATATAATATAATATCAATTATTCATGTTATAATTTTTATTCTTTCATTGTAAAAATATAGATTTAATTTTTAAAAAAATATATTTTATTTAATTAGGCCAATCTAGCTTGATAACTAGACATGAGTCAAATTCGACCAAAAATTGGTAGCCTAATAAAATATAAGTTAAGTCAACCTAATCTAAAATAACACTTGATCCGTGTAAATCAAGTTGGACTAATCAAATCCAATTCATTTAACACCTCTAACAAGGTTTAATGAGCCTATCATTTTGGTTTACCACCAATTTCTATTCGAATGAGTCTATTCCGATTTTAATAACTATGATTGAGATGTCATCAATAATTTCTCGTTATGTAAAAAAGAGTATAACTTTTGAAGAAAAAATTAGTTTGATAGAAGTATAGAAACTAAAAAAAAAACACTTATATTTATATTTTATAATTTACATTATCTTTTAAATACATTATTTTTGAAAATTTAATTTTAACTATTATTTATAAACACAAATATTTTTTTAAAAAAATTATATTTTAATACTAATTTTTAGATCATTTCAAACAAAATTGAATGGGGCTGTTTTACATTTTATCATTTAGAAAAAGGAAATACTTCTACAATAAAAAAAATTATATATGAATATCTTAATATTAAAAACACTTACCGAATACTTCCAATTTATTTCTATATATCCTTTTTATTCTATCTCTCGCTAGATGTGAACGAGATTGGTGCGTTACAACTTACAGACCATTTTCCCACGATAAATGTCATACTTATTTTTTACTTTTATTATGCTCATATATGTCTACTTTAAGTTTCCTAAACAAAACTGTAGTGAAATTTTAAAGGTTTTTGGCCAATTACATAAATTAACTTTAAAATGTTTGGGGTGGTAAAAATAGCATATTTAAAATAAAATTAGTACATTAATTTTGTAAAAAAAAAATATTTTAGTCTTTATATTAAAATTTTATAAAAAAATCTGATAAATATTGTTGTCTTAAAACTAATGTCTCCATGATAATATTATATAAAATTTAATTGATACTACATAACTAATCGAAATAATAATTTTAAGTTTAAGAAATTAAAAATAAAGTTATCCTAAGTCTTTAATATTTAGTACATTCTTAAACATTTTAGAACTTTTTAATAAGGTTCGTAGTTTTTTTAAAACAAAAATATAATTAAATCATTAATTTTTTTATAATTTTTATAATTGAAATCTTAAGTTTATAATGACTTGTAGCTGTTAAATTTTTTTTTTTGCGAGGATCTTAATAACTACATAAAAAATTATAAAATTTATAAAGTAATTTGGAAACTTAATTCTTTTAAGGTTTAGAGTCTTTGTAATGTATTAAATCTTAAAAATAATTTTTTGATAATATACTAAAAAAAATATGAATTTAATTTTCACGTACTGAATGAATAAATTATTGTACATTATTAACTGATTAAAACTATTTTAAATAATACAAAAAATCATCTTGATTTGTCATATAGAATAATTTTTGACAATATATTTTAATTAAAATCTAAAATATTATTATTGTTCTTTAAGAAAAAACCCCTGTTCTCATTCTTACTTCACATGATCCACTTATCTTTTCTCGTGTAACAACAGTCCACTCTAGTGCCGCGACCACTCCTTAACGAGGAATTCATTATTAATTTTAATTTAATTTCACTAAAATTAGCACAAATAAATATTAAATAACAAAAATTTCAACAGTTCAGCATACTGCTCCCAACTATAGAAGAATTTCATCTATATATTGGTCTGAACTCGCCAGCTCTCACACACTCTAACTCTATAAATACCTCTTGTTCTTCTTTGTTACCACCACTTTGCCTTCATACTAAACTAAATTCTAGTTTTGTAGAGAGAAAGGAACCACCCTTTTCTTTCATTTGCAATTTCTGTGTCACCAATCATGCAAACAATGTGTGCTTACAGAGACGAGGATCCCCGTCTTCATGACCTCAAAACTAAGATTCGTGTTGTCCCAAATTTTCCTAAACCTGGTTTGTTACTCTACTTTGTACTTTGTTCCCTTCTTTTTTTCCCTCATCCTCTTTACTTCTTTCTGTACCCTTTTTTGGTCTGGTGTATGAGTTTCTTAACTAGTTAAATTTGTGGAACGTAACTTGGGCAATACCCTTTTTGTTCTTAGTTTAGATTAAATATGCAGGTTGGAACTTGGAACATCAAAGGATGATACTTTTTTTTTTTCCTGACAATTCTATGGTTTTATTTTTCATCTATTTCCGTTTTGTTGGAGTAAGAAGCCATGAGGTTTTGAATTTTTTTTTCTCGTTTAAATTTTTTTTCAACTTGTCTTCAAGGAAAAGGGGGGTGTATCTGTTGTTAGATTTCTTGAGTTTTTTTTTTTTATTATTTAAATTTTTTTGTTGCAATGGCAGGTATTATGTTCCAAGACATTACTACTCTGTTGCTCGATCCCAAAGCCTTCAAGAACACGATAGATATGTTCGTTGAGCGATACAAAGGCAAAAATATTTCTGTTGTCGCAGGTAAAAAGGAGAAAAACGTGGGTCTTTTGGGGTGAGGAAAAAAAAAAAAAAAAGTGGTGAAACCTAAATATGAACACTTGATTTGAAGCCTTTTTTATTTTTTTTATTCACTTGAAAAATAAAAGGCCTCCAGGATTAAAGTCATAGCCTGAGTTATCTGTGAGGTTATGGTTGGTAGTAGTAGAAATTGAAGTAGTAAGATAACTTTGAACTATGTCGCTGTAATTGTAATTTATAGATAAAAAAAGTTAAGATAGTTTGTAGGTGGTGGGGCCACAACTATGAGAAGGATGGCCAGAATATATTGCATTAGTTTCTGGCTGCCTTTTTGAATGCATTCAAGAGACATTGTGGAATGGAAGTGACTGTGGGTTTCGGGAGTGATTTTTGGTTTGACTATGAGTTTTGGTTAGTGGGAGTGCCATCGATTGCTTTGTGAAATCTGAATGAACCTTTCTTTCTTTTCATTTTATTTTCTGTGTTTCTGAATTTTCTTGGGTCCTCATGAACATGTGCTTGGATCCAATTTGCATGGATGTCCATTGGCGAGTGATTCCAAGTTGAGGAAAGTGGGCCCACGTGATGCGAGTTTCGATTGGGCCATTTTGGTTCGGCTCCATTATATTTGTGGGTGGGTTTTCCGTGTCACTGTTTGGTGACTTGGAGCTCTAATTCCTCATTTGTTTTTTCCCTTGTCTTTTTCTTTTGTTCCAAATTCTTTTGTTTCTGGGTCAACTTGTGTGCCAAATTCTTAAATCTTGATAAAATTCGGATGTCGCTAACACCTGAAAATGACGAACTATCACTACTATTGCACTCTGCCTTTTAAAAAGAAAACAAATTCCTCTACTTTTTTATTTTTTTCAGCTTTTCTTTTTTTGGTCCATGTCTGGGGTGCACCAAATTGGTATTCTATGTTCCGGAGGATGTCATGTGAGTCCTGCAACTAGTAGAACATTTATTTGTAGATTTTAATTTTTTTGTGCATTTAAATACACTTTTTTTTAATGGAAATGTATTGAAATACTTAATATGTTTATGCACTGCCACTGCGTGCCCCGGAAAACGTGGGTACTTCATTTTGTGAACTGTACTCAAATTGTGTGTATATTACTACCAGGTACTATATGTTGGGTATGTCTAGGTACTTATGAAAAATAATTTTTATTTAAAAAAAATGGATAAAGAGCTTGGACATGACTCCAAATAGACAAGGATTAGCTTGTGGGTACCATTAGGTTCGTCTTATGTTCATTTTTGTATATATATAAAAAAATAACAGTTTTTTTTTCTCGATAAAATAAGGAATCTTTACTTGTGATATATGAGTTTATTATTATTTTTTATTTTAATTTCTTTACAACAATTTCTAGATATTTTATTTTATACATGTTATTTTACACAATTTATGAGTTTTCAAAAAATTACATTTAGTGTATTCGTACCTTTACTTGGTCCCATTTCACTGTTTTATATCTCTGATTATAAAATGAGCCAGAATGCCAGATCACCGAATTGAGGTGGATCGATTTTTTTGTTCGGTGTTTATGTGCATGTTTTGGAAACGCGTTAAAAAATTGAAAATCACGTCAATTCATTAAAAAATGTGAGTTATAATTATTAGCTTCTGATTGAACGTGAAAAATCGCGTGGAGAACGTGGGAGCAAACACACTATATGTGTGTCCATTTTGGTCCCTATTTATGTGTATTTTTGCCGTCATATTGCTTTTGTGAGACCATCTGGCAGCTTTTGTTTAATTGTTCGTTGGAATTTCTTGTTAGTAAAACACAATTAATTGTAATAGGAATTTAATGTTTCACTACCTGTTGTGAATAATTCATAACTAGGTCCTTTTATTTTGGCAACCTGATACCAGCATGGTTTTGTGTCTTTGTTTTTGCGTTGACTATTTTTGGTGAGTTTCCTATTTTCCTGTTGAACACAATATCAATTATGTATCTTTTGACATACTGCGTGTTAATTGATGACAAATTGGAAGGCTTGCTTGCAATCTGATGGCATCGTAGCACTGATATTTTAATTTTGAACTTCGCTTTTAAGAAAAACTTGTTACATGTTGTCATTCTACAATGACATTGGCAGACAATGGGCAACAAAACTTTCTATGATGCAATTATTATAAAAATAATAATAATTGTTCTTATCGTAAATCTGCTGTAGAGATGATCTTCCGAGTAAGATTGGTGAGCCTACTTCGCTGGTACGCTTGATGCTCTAAGATGGGGGTGGTACCTGCAAAAGAGACTCCGATGCTAAAGTTGGTGTTTGTGGGTGTATGAGTCTCGTATAAGTAATGCACGTACCTTTGTGTGTATTAGGGTTTTGTTGGGCCTTGGGCCCGAGATCAGTTTATGACCTAATTGGATAGCGAGCCGATGTCGCCTAGCGCGTGTCCGAGGTCACTCCGCGCTGTGATGTTGAGCTCAAGCTCGGCATAGCGGTACGGATAGTACACTAGCCCCCCGAGCTCCGAAGACCGTAGGTCGAGGAGTTAAGATCGAGCTTGACAAGGGGTCGTGACATTTCGCGTACGCCTATTTGTCATGACGCCATGTGTCATAACCGTCACCTCGTTCCCATAACGCGTGGGCAGCACGGTGACCAGATTGTATTTTTATTTGTTTGATGACGTGGCCTCTTTGGGCCGATGTGGTGTTCCGATGTCCATGTTTCATGGTCGGGCTGAGGGGCTCGGCAATAATGAGCTTACTGCTTGGTTAGGCTGGCAAACCTTTGACCGAGTCAGCAGATTGGTGAGGGGCAAGTTGGCAACTCGGCTGGCCAGTACACTAGCCCCACAAGCACCGAGTGATGTAAGAGCAAAGGGGCTTTTGAGGAGTTCCCAAATTTGTTGTTTGAAGGTTCAAATTCGACGTTGTTAAGTAGAAGTTTAGATAGTTCCAACGAGGGAACAAAGGCATATGCATGACAGATAATAACAGAGGATTCGGGTAACCAAGAATCAAGCCAAAAGCGAATGTTGCGACCATCAGCTTTCTGCCAAGAAATATGAGGTTTCACCAGTTGCCACACATTACAAACCCCACGCCACAAATTAGACATGGTGTTTGAACGGACTTGCTCATGCTGAGATTGTGATGGCTTTTACCTTATATTACTGCATATTTGTGATTGTGCCAGTAAATTTAGTCTTTTAAAATTGTGAAAATTTTACTTGTAGATTTTTTTAATAATTATTCGTATTCTTTGGCTTCATTGTTAAACTTACCCTACAAGATCAGAACTCTTTAAACGACTGAAAGCACTCGTAATAGGCTTCCATGCAATTTGTAAAACAGAAAATAGATGTTTATGAAAAATAAAAACCAATAGTAAAGCACTAAAGCCAATATTTTCGTTCTGATGCCATGGTAGAAGATAAAATAACCTCTTCATATGCTCATAAACCTTCGGAGAATAGAGCTGGATTCGAAAAAAAAAATCAGAAATCTTTGAAAAGATAATGACAATGCAATTAATCAGTTTTATCAGCCTTGTCCACGTATACAATGCAAATGGTCCATCTCCCTCGCAAGTTTTGTGATGATATTGATCACATTTGTAGAAACTTCCTATGGGGTGACTTTGATGATCACAAAAATATTCATGCTGTCGAATGGGATGAAATTTGTCGCCCTAAAGAAGGAGGTCTCGGGCTGAGAAAAAGGAAAGATGTGAACGATACCTTCATGATAAAGAATTGTTGGAGTATTCTTACGCAACCTGAAAAGCCTTAGGTAAAAGTGGTAAGAGAGAAGTATGGTGGTGGCAAAGAGACTATTCCCTACTTTGCAAAGAAACCCACCATGTCTAATTTGTGGCGTGGGGTTTGTAATGTGTGGCAACTGGTGAAACCTCATATTTCTTGGCAGAAAGCTGATGGTCGCAACATTCGCTTTTGGCTTGATTCTTGGTTACCCGAATCCTCTGTTATTATCTGTCATGCATATGCCTTTGTTCCCTCGTTGGAACTATCTAAACTTTATTAGAGTATGTCAATGATCAAGGGGATTGGGAGATGGACCATACCTCTCATCTGTTACCGCCAAATATTTGGAGTAAGGTGTTGAGTCAAAGTCCTCCAAATATTGAAGCAGGCCAAGATTAGATGGTTTGGGGCCTTACTACGGATGGCTCCTTCTCAGTTAAATATGCATATTCAGTAGTTTCACATCACTCAGGTACTTATCCTTCAAGTAATCATCCATTTCCTTTATTTAAAGCTATATGGCATTAGCGAGGCCCA